AGCTACACTGTGCTGATGAGCCCCAAAAGGGTGAAACAGCTGTCCACAGTTGCTAAGAGCAGGACACACTAAAATCATAGTCCGTTCATGGCTCTTTACGCTGCTTTGAAACTACGACATGTAGTACGCATGCGTATTCGAGATATGACCTACTTTGTCACTTTTATAATATTTTGTGTGTCCCACATACGCATCCTACTTTGTCGTCTTATATATATATATATATATATATATATATATATATATATATATATATATATATATATATATATATATGTATATATATATATATATATATATATATAGGACGACAAAGTAGGATGCGTATGTGGGACACACAAAATACTGAAACTACGACATGTAGTACGCATGCGTATTCGAGATATGACCTACTTTGTCACTTTTATAATATTTTGTGTGTCCACATACGCATCCTACTTTGTCGTCCTATAAATATTTGGAGATGCAGCTCATCCATTAGCTACACTGTGCTGATGAGCCCCAAAAGGGTGAAACAGCTGTCCACAGTTGCTAAGAGCAGGACACACTAAAGTCATAGTCCGTTCATGGCTCTTTACGCTGCTTTGAAACCACGACATGTAGCACGCATGCGTATTCGAGATATAACCTACTTTGTCACTTTTATAATATTTTGTGTGTCCCACATACGCATCCTACTTTGTCGTCATAAATATATATATATATATATATATATATATATATATATATATATATATATATATATATATATATATATATATATATATATATATATATATATATTGCAATAGAGCTCCTAGATTGCAATAATTTTGAGTTAAATATTTTCACCCTGTATATTCCCAGTAAAAACTGAAAGCCATTGTCTGTGGATTATATGCACATTAGTATACAAGCAATGGCCATGTTGTCGCGTGGTAATTTCTGGTACTGAACAATATTGCATTTTATCACATAATCTAATTTATCACTGCACAAATCTCATTTATCACTGCACAAATTAGTTATCACTGCACCGTAGAATAATCCCTGTTTCACGAAGCTATTATTTAATAATAATGCTATACTTTTTTCGACGAAAAGACTGTTTGTGTGACGTAGACTGCACTTATCTTAAATGAACTAGTACCTTAATGGCAAGGTCAAGGACATGCACAAGCTACTTTTTGTCGTACATGCAATGGCCCATGTAAATTGACAAAACTGTCATAAATTGCACAGAATATGAATATAACGAGTAAAGTTTCGCCTGGTTTCATCGTTTGTGACTATCTTGAAATCGGAAATTAACAATTATTTGAAAATTACCAATCAGTCATTACTTTTAGATAAAAACTATCACTGTTTTTTTAGAACATTGGACCAAAAGTTTATAACTGAAGTGAAACAGCAAAATAAATAAATATTTCGTTGCATGACTATATAGCTTGTAATCCCGTCTGTGCATGATATTGCGATATTCAATTTTAATATTATAATACTTACATATTGTGTAGATTCACGAGGGGCTTGAAGACATTGCTATGAAATCTTGCTAGTTCATTTGAAGAAATATCCCTTAAAAATAAAGATGAATTCGAAACAGTGATTCGCAAGAGATAAAGTGAAAACAAAAAGTTATAGTGTGCTAATTATGAAATTAAAACGATTAACTGAGGCAATTATAGTGGCTCAAAGAATAATTTAAAATAGTATTATCTCTCTATTTGTCGTCTTGTCTAAAATGTTTTGGAAAACGCAGCGAGGTAAAATTTATTTAAATCACGTACAAATGTGTAGGAGAGTACGTCAAAGTAACTGCTAGGGTGGGCCGGAGTGATTTGGGATGGGCCATGGAAAATCTTGGGGCAGTTTCGATGGGCCGCCAATTATTTTGTATGTCCATGGTTGGGCCACCAAACAAAAACCCATATCTACTTTCATCACTTATTATGATAAATATAATAGCAAATAAAACATAATACAAATCAAACATAATACAAATCTAACAGGGCAGGGCTGTACACTGCACAGAGGGTAGCAGGGGCAACTGCCCCCCCCCCGCCGAGAAAATTTAACTAATTACCTCCGCCAGGAGGTTATGTAATCATCTGGGTTTGTATGTGTGTGTGTGTGTGTGTATGTGTGTGTGTATGTGTGTGTGTGTGTATGTGTGTGTGTGTATGTGTGTGTGTTTGTCTGTGAGCACGATAACTCAAGAAATACCAAACATATCCGTACGAAATTTTTTGAATGCATTTCCCATCGGCTAAGGAAGAACTGATTAAAATTTGGTTGAATTTGGTTAAAAATTGAACGAGAAATGAAAAAAATTTTGTCTTGCTTTTCCCGGTCAATTAACAAAAAATATTACTGAATGCGTAATTAGGACGTGTATAATTTATGCACTCAGTGCTAAGACAATAATGAGACGATAAACCTCATTAAGCTTCGGCCTTCATTATCTATTGTCTTAGTTGCATTTCACGCGACCGAAATTCAATGTCTAAAACAGGGCTTACGGAGTTACGCATTATTACGTTCAGCAAAGTGCCAGTCCATTCAAATTCTAACAACATTAGATTACTTCAATACAGGGTGTATAAAAAGAACGCAACCTCGGAATTTCCCAAGAAATCGACATTGTTTTAAAGACAAAAGATTTTAGGCGCCTGGGAATTTAAAATAGCACAACTGTCAAAATTACTGCACGCGCGAGTGCATAAAGCAAAATTTATGCATTT